TTGAGGGCTTGCTTGCTGTGCTCGTTGGTCAAGGAGTGCCTTCCGTTTAGCGAAGCGGAAATTCCTCTCTTTCTTAAAAAAAATCCTAGTTGGAATAGTACCGCGCCCAGTTGTGTGTCGGGGATGGGTTTCCTAGTCCAGTTTGTCTCTATGGTGTTAGAATACAATAACAGGGTTGGAAGGGACCTTGAAGGTCTTCTAGTCCAACCTCATGCTTAGGCAGGAAACCCTACCTCACTCCAGACAAACGGCTATCCAACATCTTCTTAAAAACTTCCAGTGTTGGAGCATTCACAGGCGAGTTGTCCCACTGATTAATTGTTCTAACTGTCAAGAAATTTCTCCTCAGTTCCAAGTTGCTTCTCTCCTTGATTAGTTTCCACCCATTGCTTCTTGTTCTACCGTCAGGTGCCTTGGAGAATAGCTTGACTCCCTCTTCTTTGTGGCAACCCCTGAGATAGTGGAACACTGCTATCATGACTCCGCTAGTCCTTCTTTTCATTAAACTAGACATACCCAGTTCCTGCAGCTGTTCTTCATATGTTTTAGTCTCCAGTCCCCTAATCCTCTTTGTTGTCTCTTGAAATATCCGATTGTGAGAAGAAGGATGTCCCTTGCGTGACATAGGTGGTCAAAATCATTCCACCCAACAGACCAGGTGTTTCTTGTTCTTTTTCTCTCAGTTCCAGCAGTCAATTATGTGCCGTCAAGTGGTTTTTGACTTTTGACAACCCCATAGCAGATTTCCTCCATGATGATCTGTCCCTAACCTGGTCATTAAATGGCACACCCATCACCACTGTAACTGAGTCCATCCACCTTGCTGTTGGTCTTCCTCTTCTCTTGCCTTCCACCTTTCCCAGTATGGGCCTATTTGACAGCCTGCCCACACTTGAAACCTTGTTTCTCAGACAGGTTGACAAACAGAAATTCCCTTTTTCCCCTTCCCTTTCTACTATTCAATAAATATTTTCTAAAATTATTTGCTTAGAGTTTTAGCTTGCTTACTGTGAACACTGTTGAACGTTTTAGTTTCATAATTGCTTTACTCTTGCTACTCTTCGTTATTTGCAAATATGTGTAATTATGTTTTTACTGGTATGTGTCATTTGGGATAATGTATGTAAAGCACCCTGAGTTCCACCCTAACAAGCCAGATTTGTGTTTGGAAGTGTTCATAAAACCTTCCTCTAATAAATGTTTTAATCTATAGCAATTTATGTAGAAAGTGTAGTTTGCCCTTCTTCAGCCAATTTGAACATGCATCTGAATAGATAAAGGTAACTCTCACCATGTTAAACTTTCCTTAGCAACAGTGTAGAAGTGGTTTGCCAATGCCTTTTTATAGACATTTTAAAACTAGCCTATAATGTTAGGGTTTTCTAGTGGTCTCTCAGCCAAATGTTAACAACTTCAGCCTTTTCCAATTCAGCTAATGTTGATTAAGTGCTGCTACCTACTTGGATGACACATGTAAATCAATTAATAAACCACATGTTAAAGAGTGGTAGGGATACTCAAAATAGTACTATTCAGACATAATTTGCTTCTGAGGTTTCATAGATCCACCATGGTTAAGAACCTTGTCATACATCACTATCTCCATGGGCTGTTTTTATCTCTTTAAGCTGTATTTCCTCTTGTCTATCTCAAACTTCAGTGGAACCCTTGTCCCAGTATTAAATGTGAAGAAGAAGAAAACTTCAATTTCTTTGTCTCATCTTTAATTTTAAAAGCCAATTTTAATATGTGTATCCTGTAATAGTAAATCTTTTTAAAAAGCGTTAAATTTTTGCAATAAGCACAAGCTTTGACTTCAAATGTTTACTTACTTGCTATATAGACTAGTCATATTATTTTTAGTCCCTGCCAACAACTATTGTTATTCAAAACGAAAATGGGAGAAAGTTACTTACTACTTACTGTAACAACTGTACTGGAAAAATCTTTGTGGCAACCTATTGTATTCTTGACAGTTTTAAAATGGGCAAAGCATATTGAAGGATTAAATGTAGGAGAAAGTTGGGATTTAATTTAAATATGAGGAATTCTAATTACCTTTTTTGTGAAAAGCAATTTTTGCAATTAGTTGCAGCAAATGTATTTCCCTTGATTGCGGTTAGAACTGTACACACATACACACACACACACACATACATACATACATACATACATACATACATACATACCTTAGGGGATGTTCCCAATTTAAATTTGCTTGTCCTTTAGTAGCAGTACTTCTCATTTTTCTGTTATAACTTTCTTCTTTTTCACCAGACTATTGACCAGTTTGAGTTTGATGGTTGTGACAACTGTGACGCCTATCTCCAGATGAAGGGGAACCGTGAAATGGTTTATGATTGTACCAGTTCTTCTTTCGATGGGTAAGTGACCTTATGTCAGTTCCCCATGTAACTGTCTGGGTTGTTTTCAGGTTAGACTTGCGGGTGAGATAGCTGCCTGAAATCCAGCATTCTTTTGCTTTTGCTAGTTATAATAATCATTTGATAAATTGGTGAGATAATAATCTTTAGCAGAACTTTTCCTTTTCAAAAAAATATGCAACTGATATATTTTTTTAAAGTTTGTTTACTTGTTTATTATTATAACTGAGTCTTCATTTAGCAACTGCCTTACAGTTAACAATGGTGATGAAAAAGTAACTTTATGACCTTTGCAGATCTACAGAGGAAATAATAATAAACAAGTTGGTTCCAATTGTCAGTTAGTAAATGAACACTATCTATATTATTAGACACCTTCTTACTTGGAAAAAGTAAGAATTCAAAAAATGATACCACTGGCAGTTTTTCACCAAATTTCAGCAGCATAATCTTATGTGAGGGGGTTCATAACTTAAAAAGAATGGTGATGTCTGCAGTTTGTAAGTTATCCACTCTTGGCCTTCAGGAAAAGCATGACTGGATTCATGAGAATTAAATAGAGGCGATTATTTACATAGATTTTGAATTAATACATCCATTATGGAGCATGATGTTACCAATAAGAAAACAAATCCTTGATAAAGTTATATTCATTTTAATAAAGGTATGGATCTCTTGAAAAAAAAAATCTGTTTAAAAAGTTGAGTGATCTTTACCAAAGATCTAGAAAAACGGCTAACTGGAAAAGAATATTGTAGGAAAAGCTTTCCCCATGAATATAAGAAATAGATGACAAATTCTTTGAAGGTTTATTGATCTGTAGCTACAAGGTGTTTTCTTAGAGGAGAAGACAAAAATTACATGCTACCAAGAACTTTTATCAAACTGATTATATATATAAACCTCCTGCTTACCCTTTTAGGAATAAATAATAGTTCATTTATCAAGTTGTCCCTGATTATACATAGTAATTTGTATACCTTTCTTTTTTTCTTTTGGAATTGTATCAGATAACAATTTGCTCAAAGAAACTTTGTTTCTAATTCTAGAGTAGTCTATACTCCTTATCACTTATCCCTTCCCTTCCTGTTCTTTGTTTTGGGCAACCCCTCTGCTATTGCAATTGCTTCTAGCTCATTCTATTATATACCCTAAATATGGCTATGTCTACTAATATTTACTGAGTTGGGGATCCCATAGTATAATTGGATATGTTGTATTACTTTTTTTTATTACTACCATGAATATTACATTTATTTCATTAAAACCTACTGCAATCAATCAGTTTCAAATATACCGGTACATACTAGCAGTAAAATCAGCATAAAATTTTACAATAGTACAGTAAAATAAGAAAAGAATAAAACCCTAAAAAATAAATCAGATGGCTCTCCTTGCAAAACAATAATTCCTGGAAACTGATCCATTTACAATAATAATTTGAGTAAGTATCAGTCAAGATAAGTATAAACAGACAGTCCAATGCACTCCCATTTCTTCTTCTTCCTTTCAATTGTGCCTGATTCTCAGAGGCTTCCTGGATAAGTCCCCGCAGTTTTCTTGCCAAGGTATGAAGAAATAGTTTGCCTCCCTTCTTTTCTTGGGCTGAGACACAACTAACCCAAGGTGGCTTTATGCTTAGAGTGGGATTAGAACTCTCAGTCTCCTGTTTCTAGCCTGATGCCTTAATAACTACAAATGGTACCTTGACACTCATCATTGATTGGTTCCTCGAGGCGTGACGAGTATTAAAAATGACAAGTGCCAAACAAACCGAGTGACTTACCACATGACCCTTTGTTTCAGCTGGGAAGGACTTCCTGTCGGACCCTTTTCCTATGCTGACTTCCTGTCCATTCTCCCAACCGTCCCCCTTTTCCTATTGCAGCATATCTAGTACCAACCAATGAATACTGGAACAATATTTTTGTATCAAAATGCACCAAGTACCAAATTTTACGAGCTTTGAAGCAGTCGGTTAGCGAGGTACTACTGTACACCAAACTACGATTTTACTCATCCTGATATACCTTTTGGAAGAGCATATTTTGTACTTCTCCAAAAATTCAGGAAAGAGCGTGTGGTCTGGATATCCACGCATAAAGGAGTTTCCAAATAATTGATTTTGTCCAGGATCTTTTGTAGCTCCTTCCCTAATCCCTCTTTATAATCTTTACTGGGAATAGAAAGTAGGAAATTGCACCCCTACTTCTTTTAAAACATATATTACTACATGCTTTCTCAGAGAATCATTGATTTTTCTCATGGAGCCAGCTATCATGCCCTATCTAGCTATGGACAGACAGGATGGCAGAGGACAAGAGAATAGACAGGTGGCAGAGATCAGACTGCTGTAGAAGACACAACCATCACTCCATAAGATCAAAAGAATCAAAAGATCACAGCAGAAAACATTACTTTGCTTATTACAGTGGACAGCAGATACAAGAGATGTTGTTTGCCATGAATCCTGGACATTTGATTGGCTAACTCTTCCTGCATCCTTGCAGGTGTTCTGTTGCACCCATTTTTCTCTAAAAGGGTCCTAGATCATTTTTAACATGTCTGCTATATAGGAATTTACAGACACAATAAGTACAGAGAATAATTGTCACTTCAATAGTCTCATTGTAAACTCAGTTGCGAATTCTTACCCCAATACCCAGTTGTGCCCACTTTATTTGGGAGATTTCCTTCCAGCAGCTCCTCAGTTAACTAAGGAGTGTCTTAGGATTGGTCAGAGGTCCTGATCCAGCATCCCGGATCTTCTGCTTTCTCTTGTTTCATTTCTCCTGTCACCCTGTCACTTCCATTCGCCCTTCCAGTCCTCCATTCTAGTTCTTACAGTGCTTCAAATTCCATCTTTTGTTGTCCATCCTGCATTTTTATTTTGTAAATTTTGAACTGACTCCATATTTCCCAGAGGGGTTGAAATCTTATTGCCACTGTTTTGGCTAAGCAAATCTTTTCCGTGTGTGTGTGAGAGAGAGAGAGACTTTTTTCAATTTTCTGACTTTCCTTGTGTTCTTGCAGCATTATTGCAATGATGAGTCCTGAGGACAGTTGGGTCTCCAAGTGGCAACGGATCAGTAAGTTTTCAACTACCTTATATTTAATTATATAATTAAGCTGTATTAGACAAATGATTGCATTCAGGATTGATGAATAAATGAAAGACAAGTAGTAGATTACTGAAAGGGAAATTTCTGTCTGCAGGAACAAGTAGGTCACATTACTGATGTTTTTCAGTATTAGAAGCTTTCTGCAAGAGGAGTTCCTCCTTTGCTGACAGCAGAGATGAAAACTTGGGGAGTTGAAATTTGCTAGCAATTTTGTGTTGTAAGAGTTTCTTCACAACAACATAATAATTAACAAAACATCATTATGGCCCAGGAGTGAAGCATCAGCCCATGGAATATGAGTCACCTGTGAGAAAAAAGTTCAAAACCCAGGGAGATTTTTAGTTACTTTTTTTGAAAGGACACTGCTAGTGTTATTCAAATTGATTTCTTTGAACTTGGCACTATCAGCTCAAAAGCCTGACATTTAAAAGGGTTAATTGAACATATGAAGCTTAAATGTCCAACTGGAAATATAGTGATAAAATTATTTGAAAAAGAGATAGTAGACACATTATTTGCATGTGTGTTTGTTCTTGGGAACTCACGATGATTCAGATACTAGCTTTAATTGATAATAATTATTTTCAGTCTCTTGGAATTGTATTTACACGTGAAACAATCCTGAAATGTTTTTAAGTTAAACATTAAATCAGGGGTTTAACAAAACTCAATTTTGAACTTTTTTATGGCTTTATTTAACATTTAACTTTATAGAAAGAATGTAATTTAATTACATGCTCACAACAGCAATAATAAATATTGCTCAATACTTGAAGAAAAATATTATTCCGATAATAGCTGATTGGGAACCTAAACTTGGAGAATATACAACAGTGGCAAAATTAACAGTATGTATACTCAATAGAGTGGGACGCAGTGGCTAAGACGCTGAGCTTGTCGATCAGAAAGGTCGGCGGTTCGAATCCCTAGTGCCATGAGCTCCTGTTACTTGTCCCAGCTTCTGCCAAACTAGCAGCTCGAAAACAAGTAAAAAGTGCAAGTAGATAAATAGGGGCCACTTTTTCCATGCGCCTTCGGCATTTAGTAATGCCAGCCACATGTCCACGGAGACATCTTCGGACAGTGCTGGCTCTTTGGCTTTGAAACGGAGATGAGCACCGCCCCCTAGAATCAGGAACAACTAACACATATGTGCGAGAGGAACCTTTAGCTTTACACGAAATAGAAGTTTAACCAAATCAGAGCAAAAATGGTTTCCATGCATATATCATGTAGCAGGGCAAATGCCGTATTTTTTGGAGTATAAGATGCACCGGAATATAAGACGCACCAAGATTTTGAAAAGGCAAATAAAAAAAATTTTTTGCACTCTGCAGACCTCCCCAAAATGGCCCTTTTTTCACGANATGTCACGGCACACTAGTGTGCCGCGGCACAGTGGTTGAAAAACACTGCTTTAGTACTTCCTAGATTGTACAGGAACAGTCCTAGCCTATGTTTCTTGAAAAGCAAATTTGTGACAGTAGGAGACTACAGCAAAACAGCATAATCCATGAGGTTGCCCCATTCCTATCATCAGAGTATATATGAAAGAAGTTTCCGGTACATTGTATGGTATGGTCAAAATCAATTGATTACTCTGATCATCTTCCTGAATCAGGTTCTCATTTTGTTTCTTCTCCACAGTTATTGTGTGAGAATGCACTGGTGATCAACTCTTATTTTATTAAAAGCTTGGAGACTGGCAGGATTTAATGGGGAGAATTATAGAGTCATTGAATATTAAAGCTGTGGTAATCCAGATATTGGCTCAGTGCTGGAATCTAGCAAAGTTCATTTAAGAAAGATTTCTTGCTTTCTGTAGTACCTCCAGTGAAGGAAACATGAAACACATGGCAGTCAACTTAGTAAATCTAGCATTGTATTTTTGTGGACAACCTATCCCTTTACTAAAAGAGTTCAAGAAAAGTAATCATTAGAAAAATCATAACAAGTGTAGCCTTAAAACTCATTGGTGAAAATATGAACACCAGTCCTCTTTATTGCACTCATAAAAGAACTTAACCATACCTACAGAGAAAAAACAGGGAACATATTTTCAAAAAAGGGACAAATAGCATGCACATATACTGTACTTCATATTATAGATGAAATGGACTATTTGGGCCTTCTAAATCAGGATTCCAGCCTGGACATGGGACAAGAGAAAGTTTAATCTTGCTAGCAGATGATCTTTATCGGCATCACTTCTCTTAAACCTTTTAGACTTCTTACACTTTCCAATAGCATTGATTATTGTACCCTGGATTGATTCTCAAGAGTTTGGGATGGCTTCTTCCTCAGGGTTTCAGGTGGTGGTGGTAGAAGAATGGTTGGCTCAGTGCCTTTTGCCTTCAGGTGTGCTGCATAGGTTGGTTCTTTCTATTCTACTTACGAAACAACTGGGTGAGGTTATCCATCAGCTCAGGATCTCTATGGAGATTCTCAGTCATCCGGGTCATGGTTATCTCAAAGGTGCTTTTTCAAAAGGCAACTGGACTTTCTTTGTTTTTTTTTCTTGAAGTCGTTTCATTTCTCATCCATTGGATGATCATCTTGGATGAGAAATGAAACATTTTCAAGAAAAAACAAAGTCTGGTTGCCTTTTGAACAAACACCTTTGAGACATTAGTTCAGGGTGCAGTATCATCCATCTGTTCATAATATTCAGCTTTACATCTCCATCCTGGGCCAAACTGGCTAGCCTACTGAAGTCTTGTCTTGATGTCTAGTTTAGAGACTCAAGGTCTGGATGGGGCAGAATTCCACCGGGACAGTGTTTACTATTTGTCCATTAGGATGCCTGGATGGCTTCAATGTTGTCTCGTGGTGGAGAAACACTACTCCTAAAGGCTGACATCACGATTTGGAGTTGCTGCTCATTCTTCAACAGCAAATGGGAGGTATGGCTAGAGAGCATTTAGTGTTGCACATTACGCACCAGTACTATACTACTGAAATGCACTCTACAAAGGGGCTGCCTTTAAAGCCACATTGGTCCAAACTGCATTGGCGTGTGTACGTTCATTAATGGGAGCCCATTACTCTTGTGCTATGAGCCCTGGACTGGCTTCATGGAGATTTTGGAGTGCTGGTGTTAATCAACACTCTTATGCAAGACCCAATCTGGGGCAGTCACTGGGACCAAAGCTTTCAGACATGTGCTGGAGCCAATCCTCAGGGAACTTCTTTCTACCAGAATATGTGCTTTGGGTTATTCTATGATCTTTAAACTCTTGCAATTTGGCACCAACTTTTCTTCACAAATGCAATCATCCAATAGAATTGGTCAAATCTATTTGATCTTACCATGAAAAACAACTGATGGTTTGCCACTTTGGGGAGGTAGGGATAATGAAGCACAGAGATGTCTCTTTTTTATATTAGTCCCAGTTCTCTGGAATGGCCTACCACTTATTTAGCCTGATTTTAGCTGCTTTCTGGGCGATGGACTTTTCTTGAGGACATTTGAGATTTGACATTTTTTAAATTTTCTACTTTATGAGTTTTATTGGATCATGGATATTTCAATATAGGCATTCCAATGAATGCATATACCTGTACATTTACCACCTACGAGGTAAATGTAACATGCACACCTGTATATGCTGTGTGCATGTTGAATTTACCTCACACCTGAGGTAAATGTAACATGCACACAGCATATACTTATCGCTATTACTATTGCAACCTGTGCAATTTTATAAATCCCAGAGAAAGTTACCCCAGCGATGATTGAAAGAAATGCAGTGAACAGTTACAAGCCACATATAAAAAGCAAAAACATTACAGCAAAGTGTTTATTAAGGATGGGGTAAAATGATGCGCAAATGGTGCAAAAGTTAGTGGTGCATATTGCAAGGAATAAAAGACACAATTTCTAATGTGAAAATGGCTCTGCACCCATGGTACAAGAAAAGACATGCTGCTCCACATCCAATATTTGAAGGGCTGCCACAGGGAAGAGGGCATTAATTTATTCTCCATAGCATCTCAAGGTAGGACAAAAAGCAATGGCTAGAAGCTTATCAGAGGGAGATCCAATCTGGAAATAAGGANCATTGTGAGCCTTAGCTTTCCTCACTTCATCTTTACATGCTCGGGCTATTTGCTGATATTCTGCCTTATTTATGTCCACCCCCACGCCCAACTACATTAATGTAAACATTAGTGTTAATTATCTTCAGTCAATACTGGGCTGTCCAAGTATCAAAACAATACAGAGCATTTTATAACACAAAAAATATTGAAAAAAAACTTTCTAGCAACTGATTAAAATAACAGACTGGGGTAGAAAGTGAGCACATGGCATGGACACCCTTCCTGAAAGGAACTTATGTTATATATAAATATATTATTTAAGCCATATTATTAAGCAGAAGATCCTGAGTTCAAGTCCTGCTGTAATTATGAAAGCCAGCTGGGTGACTTTGGATCAGTCACTCTCTCATAACCCAACCTGCCTCCCAGGGTTGTTGTGAGGAAAATTAGAGGGATACAAACAAATAAAAGTATTATTTCACACTGCAATCCTCAGCAGTCCTAATTCACATTTGTTCCTGCTTTCTTAGGTAATTTCAAGCCAGGCGTGTATGCTGTGTCAGTGACTGGCCGTCTCCCCCAAGGTAATCTACAGCAGCGATAACCAACATTTATGGCTTGGCGGCCCAGGGGGGGTTGCACAAGCGGTGGACCAGCATGTGTGCAAGGGTGCTCATCAGCCCACCACTCACACAAGTTGAACTGTGTATGAGTGTGTGCCAGCCCACTACTTGTGCAAATCGAGCAGCGTGTGGGCTACAGCTTGTACAGGTCAAACTGCACACCCAACGTACACTGACCTTCTGTTTGTGCGGTCTGGTTCCAAAGAGGCCACAGCCCAGTAGTTGGGAACCCCTTATCTACAGGATTCTCTTCAGGAGGACTAGGATTTGGAGATCTTTTCTCATTTCTAAAGAATCCTACAACTGAAATAGAAATTTGTGCCCAGTTTACTGTTGAGCCAAGGACACTGCGAGGGCTGTAGCCTCAAGGACCAATCGTGGCTCTTCTTTTTTAGCACCATTGTAACTTTGAATGGTCCCTGAGCAAATGGATGGTAAGCAGGGATTAGCTGTACTTCATCCAAGTCCATTAAATTAATAGATATGTTTGTTGTTGTTGCAGGCATCGTACGGGAATTGAAGAGCCGTGGAGTAGTCTACAAATCTCGGGATACAGCCATAAAGACCTAAGAATATTTTGTTCCTCAAATATTATGTCTTTCCAGCTTCCTTTTCTTGTAAATGCTGCCATATGGACTATTCTAAAGATATGGAGGACGATCGGTACATGGATCAGGTTTTTATTAAGGACTTTTAATGGGCAGCCTACTAGTGGCTCCATTCTTCTGGCTTTGAACTAGATATGAAAGGGGGGGTTCCTGAAAGACTTAAGGAAGTGGTGACACTAATTCCCAAGCGTTTCTGATTTCTCTTAGCTGTTTTTAATAAATTTGGTCATAGCATCAGGAACCTGTGCTCTGGCTTTTGCTGTTAAAAAGTTTTTTGTCTTCCTGTAATAGGTGAGGTGTTCTAGCCTGCTTGGTCTCAATTTGTAGGATTTTCTCTGAGAGGAGTACTACATATTCCATGAAAGATAGAAATAAGATTTTCTCTATCTTTCATGGAATATGTGGTGGTATTTTTGATTCAAGACTTCCATGTTAGTTAAATTTTTAAAGAATCTTTTCCTCACTTGGCCATATTTTTGCTTAAGGCAGCTTTTTGTACAAGAATCGGCTCTTTTTTTAATGCACTGAACTGTAAATTAATCAAATGGCTTGGGTTCAGTCAACATACTAAGCTATTAAAAGATTGGTCTATCTATATGCTGTATGAGCAATGAAGCAACGAAGCACAATAGACCTGTGTAAACACAGCAGATATTGGTCAGATTCAGGATCAGCTCACAGTTCACTGGGATCTTAGCATACCCAACCTCTTTCCCCTTCAATTATTGCTGGGACAATTATGTCAGGAGAGTTTCTGATGGGGATCATCTGTCCATCTGCTGAGTCTGCTTAGGTTTCCGTGTAGCATATCTCTCCTGTTCTACTCCTAGTATCCCACTGTGAATCATCAGTTTCCGGTTGCTCTGAGCAGCAGGACACCCGCAGCTTCAGCAGGGGGACCTGCAGACTAGCAGAGATCAAATTGCAGGATGTTCGCTGCCATTTGTGTGGCATGATAATCATCACAGGGACGTCATGGAGAAAAGAGGCGGAAGAAGTATTAGGTATGTCCACCGCCTTGAGTTACTTATAAAGTAATAAAGATGGGATTAGAAACCTATTAAATAAATCGATAAATAATACAAGAAGGTAATATTTTCCATGATGGGCATTGCCCTAGGGCTAAGGGTTATGGGTTACAGGTTGCTTGACTACGTCTTAAAACTTGGGTGTAAAACCGTCTTGTAGATGTTCACACAGTCTCTGAAAGCTTTTAAGTTTGACTCCAGAGTCCTAAATTGCTATTGAACTGTAATGTTTGGTGTGAAAGAAGGAAAGAAGTAAATATATTGGGAGCAATAAAATTAATGGCAATGTAATTTGCATTACATGAAATTAAAAATATTTTTTTGCCCTTCATTTCGGTGTCTATCTCATTTGTTCTTTGAAATTTGCTCACTGGCACATTATTCAACAGCCAGACATAGATAGATAGATAGATAGATGATAGATAGATGATAGATAGATAGATAGATAGATAGATAGATAGATAGATAGATAG